CCACATTGAATCTCCGCTAATAAAACGACTTCTGAATGTCGTAGAAGGTTCTAGATTGAACCAATGTATTCAAAATATAAAAGAGAACAACTTTTTATCTGATAACCTTTGAATTAGATAATTAATTGATTTATTAATTAAATAATAATTAAATTTTTAAAAATTTCAAAATATAATTTTTATCAAAAATATTTGCCGTGACGTAAAACGTAAAATGAATTTACTTGAATAACAGAACATACACCGTCACATAGATTAGATAACAGATTAAAAAAATCTAGATAAATGGAATAAACGGTAAAATATTTGTACGATACTATTATAGCTTATAACTATTTACACATCATATCTCTCGACTTAGTGTTGTGCTTAATTAGATTGTTAAACTGGTTTGTTTGGAAGCGTAAGCTTCAGCTTTACTTTATGTTGACTTCTCTTCGTAAAAAAGTTGAATCTGCTAAAAATCGAGGACTAAAATCACACGAAATAGTTAATATTTTGACAAAAGAAGAACACATCGTGTGCCTGATACTGTACGGCGTACGCGTGCAGATTCTAAGTAAGTAGCTGTCAACTAATATACAATAATAGTAATATGTTTTTACCGTTTTACTTTTAACTTTGATGTCAGCGGACAGCGCAACTACTACAGCTAGAGGCATTCTTAACCAATACAATGTTTTAATTTACCAGGCAAATGAGGAGTTAGTTTCGGTGAGTAGCTTTAAGAGGGCGAATGATCGACAATGTAAATTTGTATGGAATGAAATATGGAAAGGGTTGCTGTCCCCAGGTACTATTTAAACTATTTATCTTTTAAGTAAGTGCACTAACTTTTAAACTATGCCCAGCAAATTTGAAACGGATACGTACAGTCCTATTCTTTATCCTGACGCCTCTCATACCTTGTATACATAAACGAATCATCGCACCACAGGTTGGATCAACAACCCTGGTCACTGAACGAAATTAAACGGCAGTACAACGGCATGACTGATTCAGCTCAGAGCGACGTCTTGTGTGTATTATTGCAGACAGTGACCATAGACCAGTTCCAAAGATTCATATCTAGCCTAGCGGTTAGAGCATCCGCCTTCTGCGCAGAAGGTTCAGGGTTCGAATCCCAGTGTCACCTAGTCTAGGGAGTAGCTAAGGATCCATTGGATCTATGCAATCTCAACGGTCGACTCAACCGAATGATAGAAAACTTAATTGAGGGTTAAATGAGGAGGGGTACCTGTTAAAAGTTCAAGAAACTTCCTAGGATACCCCTTCAGTGCATACTGTAAACATAACTATTATATCGGCCAATGAAGAGGAGTCCGTTGTAACTGAGGCAGGACCATCTTTAGCCACGAACACAGTTTAAACAAATGTCCATTCTGTAACGTAGAGATCGCACCAAATGATAAATCCTCAAACCGGATTACAGATGCAGGGTACCTTAGTTCCCAAAAATTTGTGTGCCATTATATTGAGCACAATTTATTTGAGCCCGAAAAATTTGGGCAGAAAATTTGAACTCATTTGGGCTACCGAAAATTTGGGCACAAATTCTTCGAAAAATGAACGATTTTCTACTAAAATTTCAGTTAGATATTTGCCTTAGTTCATTATTATTCCTTATTATTCCAGTCATTTTGCTTTCAATTTTAAGCATGTAGGTGGTAGTCTGAGTTGTTTCACATTATGAAAACATAGTGTGTCAGCTCAATGGAGGAGTTTCATCAGACAATGTGAAAATTGATACCCGCTTGACAGTGATCCGTGAACTACACGCTCGTTGGATCAACGAACTTTTTGTATATTTAAAAGGGAGACCAGATGACATAAGGAAAGGCTTTGAGAAGTCGGGTATAACTGATGCTTGTAGATCAGACTTTACGGTGGATGATAATCCATTTGCAGATCTTGTTTAAATCTCTAGCTATCCGTACCTCTAGCCGTTTGTTTTATTAGTAGCTGTTAGCTATTCCAGTTATTTCTATGCATTTAAAATATAAGCCTTTTTACTTGGTCAAGCTATGACAGATTAAAAAACTAAAATTTCAAATATTATTTCACTTGGATATGAAGAAAAAGCCATCTTTCTATAGATTTCAGGGCCACATGCCAAATGCCAAAAGTTTGGTTAGCAAAAAATTTAGCAGACGGAAAAGATTTATGCAATTAATTTGGTCTGCAAAAAATTTGGTCGAGAGGCCCGCTCAAATTTTTTGTCGCCCAAATTTTTGGGAATTAAGGTAAGTTATTGTGCGGGGGCGGGGGGAGGTAGTATAGTACACATACGTTAGGCTCTTACTAATTCGCTCGCCCAAAAATTTCACGTGACTTTCTCCGTAGCTTAGTGCACTAGATTCCCACTATCGGAATCGTTCTGAATAGCCGATCCTTACCAACTCCGTGGATCCGACTGGTGGTGTCTGATCCAGTGAAAGCGTGGCACAGAAGTCGTACAGAAAGCCCAATTATGGTATCCTAGCACCCTGTCACGTGATAAGCGATTAGGTAATCATTGATAACCCAATCAATTTCGCTAACGAGATAAACAAATTGCTTGATAACTTCGTCATTTTCAATCCGTTTCGCACATCGTTTTGCAGATGTTTTGATTTGAGTGCTCTAATCAAGTTGATGTTTCTGTAATTGGTGATGATACTTAACTGATTTGCTTGTAACTTTGCATTTGACCAGCAACTGTTTCTCACCACCAAAAGCTACATCTATGACATTGATAAAATTCGAAGTGCGATTGGTAGGAGGCACGTGAACACGATACTGCTGTGCCACGCTTCACTGGATCAGACACCACCAGTCGGATCCACGGAGTTGGTTCATGCAGAAAAGCAGGAATACAATGTGGATCAACCTGCCTGAAATGTCAGGACAATTGCACCAATGTGCCAGCTGAGGACTCATAAGTTAGACTATTATCTAGTATATATGGTTATATAAAGTACTACTTCGATTTCCCAATTAATATAATGAAAATTTGTTAATTATTCGTGATATGTAATTTTAAAATATTTTGATCAAAAGTAATTTTTATATTTTTTAAATATTTGTTTAATAATCGAATAAGCTAATTAATTAATTATCTAATCCAAAGTTTGTTAGATAAAAAGTTGTCCTCTTTCATATTTTGAACACATTGGTTCAATCTAGAACCTTCTACGCCATTCAGAAGTCTTTTCATTAGCGGAGATTCGATGTGGTAAAAAGTGGTAAATAGTGGTTTTTCTTTACAAATTTCGAAAATTTTACAAGTCCAAAATATTGTATGTGAAAATTTTCAAAATTTTCATAAAAATTAGTTCAATATACGTGGAATGTAATTGTGAACATTTTTTATGAAAATGTATTTTTGAAATATTTGAAAATTTATTAATTATTTAATTAATTAATTAAATAATTTGTTTTTGAAAAAGTTGTTTAAGAAAAGGTTGTTCTTTTTTGTTTTCTAAACACAATGCTTTAAACTAGAATCTTCTAGGATATTCAGAACGTGACTTATTTGCGGAAAACCAAAGTGGTAAAAAGGTGGTAAAAAAGTGGTAACTGTGGATTTTCCTGAAGTCGAGGATTTTGGGAACTCTCTGGAATGATTCCTGGGACCTGTCCCGACCATATCCCGTTAAAATCGCTTTGTTGCGAATTTTGTCCGACAAAAAGACGGATTTGACTGTACTAATACGCGTGATGAACCTTACACGCGGAGTAAATGGCTGCAGCTGGTTGTTTCGTAATTTATAGTTGACATTCAAAATGTTATATTTACTATGGCCGTAATTGTTTTGACTTCCAGAGCAACTTTCATAAAAACGTCATAAATGTTCACAATCTTCTGGTCATGGGTATCACGTAGATATTCGGAGAGTTTCGGAGAGTTTTTTGGTAATCTCGTTCATCTTTCCCATCAGGGACTTCAAATTCTTCTTCAGAAAAGCTGGGTCTATCATCTTTCTTTTGTGGTACCTCTGTTCCAGGCTCCAACAGTATTCCCTGATCTCCAAATATTCTAACACCGTTATAAAAAGCAACGGGGTTACCTTTGGGGCCTTGTTTCCAGAATGTTCGGTGATCGCTCATTATATTTGAAACAAACTCGATTCTTTGAGAGATAACCCAGTAGGAGTACTTATGAAATCCAACGAATAAATTTGGCAAATGTATCGACTTCAAGATCCTTTCCTATCAATCTCAAGATTACTGCATGACTAAAACCAAGTTCTTTTGCCTGGCTCTGGAAGGGAGGGGTATGTCCTGTAATCCGTTTCCAAGAAAGAGGTAGGGGAGGATTAGTGAAGTGGTTATATCGACGTCTACACACATAGACGTACAGGTGGAAATTCTGACACAGTAAATTCCCTCAGAGGAACGATTCTCCAAAAATAAAGTATTGGATTAGCTGCAGAATTAGCTGCTTGGAGCAGGGTCTTCATGGCTGAGTAATAGTAGAACTGTTTATCAAATTTGTAGACGTTGAAATATCAATAAGAAAATGTGAAGGCCAGGACGAGAGAAGGTATTATGTAATATGTATTGCAACATGTTTTAGACACTTCTTTTAAATTTAATGCTTCATTGCTTTTCTCTGCAAGAATAAGGTTGTTTACTTTCACTGTGAGTTTTAGAACATCTTAATCCAGGCAACGAAGGGCTGTTCGTTAGTGTGTTGCTACCTGACTATTGCTAGTAGTATTAAACTCTACATGTCCGTCGTTAAACACAAGATGATCCAGCTATATGAGTGGATCAGGATACCAGGACAAGGACAGGGCTGGTTTCAGTGCAAAAACGATTTCCAGATCAGTGACGTTCAGTCGATTTGTATGTTCAGTAGACCCAGCAGACTGAAGATATGTGTGGGAACCTCTACAGGTTAGCGGTATAGTTAGCAGCTAGGTTCGTTTTACAGAGGGCAGAATAAACATTACCGTAATTTTGGGCCAGTTTTAAAGCGACTTTTCATAAAAATACATATTACAAAAGATACAAACTTTGTGCACTTTAAATTTTGTATTTTCAACTTCAATAGAAAAAATATCGTTTTTTTTGCACGCAGAGAAATAAATGTCATCACAGAAAAAACCCATCACAGAAAATCTTTTTAAAAGTTTTTTTTTGCATGCAGAGAAATAAATGTCCATCGTCCATATCGTTTTTGTTTCAAAATAGGTTCCTCCTAATTTAAATTATAAATGTTTTTCTGTTTTTTAAACACTATCTCGTCCAGACACACCAGAGATTTCGCGAGCATCATTTTTAGTTTATCCAGCGTGTTAAGGAACCCATCACAGAAAATTTAAGGAACCAAACCCCTGGATCAGCGACCACAGCGCCATTTTCATAAACGCCACCACCAATCTAAACCTCACCACCAATAACGTCATCACTCATCACCTTCCCCATTTTCCAATCTAATGAGCACTTTATCACCGTTAACCGGCACGTAATCTAGCCCGAGTTCCAATGGCTCCATCTTTCCATCTCCGGTTAGTAGAAGTATCTCCCAGTACTCATTCTGCTCAGAGTCTGCCTCTATTCGGTTTCCGTTAAGCTCAATTTCGAATAATTCCGATCCAGAATAGTCGTACCTGATTTTGAAGTAGCTTCAGCATTTGAAAATAATATAATGTTTGCAATTGGCTAGTTCATGATTATTTTCATGATTATTTTTCTAACGCTAGGACCTTAGGAATAGGTTTTAAAGTTTTGTCGAATTGTTTTATTCGTTTAAATTTTAATCGCTAAAGTACAAAAATCATGATTTAAAATCTTACCATATATCTGATTTATACATCATTTTTCCCAGGTCGGCATCATCAGATCTCGTCATAGTAGTTTCATAATTATAAGGTTCGTTGTTGCGGCCTGAGTCAGCCAAACCACGTCAGTCGTCAGCAAAGACATGTCTTCAAAGACAAGCTGTTTAAACAAATTAAAGACATAATGTTAACGAAACAGATCTCTTGCCAAAGAAAATTGAAAGAAATTGAAATTATTACAATTTTGAATACAATTTCACCACAATTCAAAGTATACCTTACAATAAGTTAAGAAAAGGCTAAATCAATATTACTAGATAAACCCGCCTATTAGCAGTCCCACGACTTAACGGGTGATACTCGTAAAATATCTGTTTACAACCTTACAGGACCGTCGACGAGTCCAACTCGGCGCGCGTCCTGGTAGGTTGTAAACCTACAATCCCACTACCCACACTTCCCGCACATTTTGCAAATAATCGCCTTACTTTAACGATAGACGCAAAGCTACGAAGAATGGTACAGATAGGACAGGATCGTTCGTTATTTTAACCCTAGCCAAAATTAAGTTATCGAGGATAATATGCGATGAAATAGTGAAAATATGCACTCTTCAGGGCAGAGTTTTTCAAATTTAGCACGCGCTTTGGCCACAGCCTGAATTTCAAAAACAGCAAAACGTGTAAAAGGCATAGCTGAGCAATTTGGCAATAGAGATCATTTTCAAACACAGTTTCATGAACGATTAAAATAATACGATTTTAAATGCATATTAATTAAATTATTAGGGCCTGCAAGCAGCTCTTGCGAAATAAGTGTAGTTCGAAAAAGGGATGCATATTGCATTCTATGGAAAAGAATTTCAGGAAATTTGCTTCCAGAATTGAAATCTAGCAATGTGAAATGATAAATCCAGAAAGATTTTGTTGTGCCAATCTAATTAAGGGTCAAAGGAAAAGTCCTGCAAATTTTGAAAAATAATCTCACAGTTAATATAGGTCTCACTCTCAAAGAGGGTACAACATGCAATGAGGGAGAAACTGTACTGGAACAATTCTTGAAAAATTTGTTTTAAGGAACGAATTCTAGCAATGAGGTAATGTAATTTGGACTACAAGGGGCAAACTGTGTCCTACTAATTTACTCCCACGGCAAAAAGAGTAATCAGTAATGTTATCTGAATTTTATACTCGCTAGGCTTCTGAACTTATGATGAATCCAGACATGTAATATGTTTTGTTTTAAAGACCCGAGGGCCACTGTGTCCTACTAATTTACTCCCACGGCAAAAAGAGTAATCAGTAATGTTATCTGAATTTTATAATCGCTAGGTTCCTGAACTTCTGATTAATCCTGACATGTAATATCGGAATATGTAATCAATATAAATTATCAGATTTCTGGTTCATGCCAGCTCACAGCTGGATTGTATCCTGCTAATTTACTTGAAAAAGTTGGCCCCTTTTCGCCCCTTTTCCAGATTTTGTGGGGGGGGGCGGTCGCCCCCCCCTCCTGCCCCCCCCCCTCTTCCTACACCCCTGGTATTGGCTTTATGCCAGAGCTTAGACGTAGCATCTCACTTAGATATTTAAGTGCGACTTTGGGAGTCGAACTTAACATGCACTTGGTATAATGGGCGCAACTGTCGTTTTGAGAATCTGACATGGCGAATCAGATCACGTCACTGATTGGAAACCTGTTAATGGCTTGTTAAGGTGTGGAAAACGGGCGCAGCTGTCTGTACTACCGACAGTCGGTAAGCCATTTCTGGACACAGAGTGAGTCATCTTGCATCTTGTGACAAATGCTAATGCTATGTTGCTCATGAGTCTTTTATTAGGTGCGGTAAAAAAATCGAAATTATGCGGTACCACACCCGACTATAAAGGTTAAATGTGCGGTAAGGTGCGGTAAATTTTTACCAATTATGCGGCAAATGTGCGGCGATTTTTTCGAAATTTGTGCGGGAATTGTGCGGTTTTCTTTTGCATTTTCTCAAGGACTTTGGAAATTCTAAACGTATAACCGCCGCTCTTATCAAAAATAGGTCTGTTTATGTGTTACTGAAGGTGTAGTTCTTTACTAAGACCATGATTGAACCTAATATTGAGATTCAGTTATCTGAAAACAGTGACTTGATCTGGTAGAGATCAGGAGACAGTTATTTGAAGACGCCTCTTGATAGAGTCGATCAGATCCTATGCAGGTATCTTCTGTTTCTTGTGTGGTGAGCTTGATGATGGGTCACTGGAGAGGCCGACGACCAGGCCCCCTTATTATTAGGGGTCCCACGGAGATCAGATCATATCACCAATTAGTGACGTATAATTAGTGATGTGATCCATCAGTAGAATTTAACTGACCTAGAAATGGGCTAGATACAGGGTAGAGTTCACATGTCAACTCTGTACATCATGGCATTGCATTAAGAAGTAAACATGATCTTTAAGATCTGACCGCATGACTCGTATATCACATAAGTGATCGCATTACAAGGGGGAAGCTTCGATTATCGTATATCGAGAGGTAGGTACTACTAAAAGGTACGGGCTTCAGTAAAATAAATCGTTGACACACCCTTTTGATCGCAACGTGTAGCAAGTAAACCGGAAAAAATATGTTAGGCTCATAATGATCATAATGATCATTATGCAAACATTCACATGACGATGACTCGCCCACTTAAGGAATTGTGCGAGAAGATGAACAATCAACAAAGGCAAAGATGAGGAAATAAAATAATGTGTAATGCGTGTTAGGCATAAGGTAAGTTAGGCATAAGGTTAGTTAGGAGTTAATTTGTTAAGTGAAATTGAATCATGAGATTTGGAACAATGGGAACATTGATCAATTGTTAAGACAATATATACAGACAACATCTCATGAGGGTAAAGGAAATATTTCTATGAACGTAGTGATCAGGAGTGTCAGCTTTATACTCGGACGACGAGCCCTCGGTCCCCACAAAAGATAATCTTTAGAATTATAGTTAAGACTAGTAGTACAATCTGTGTAAAAGAACTAATGGTCAGTCTATAAAACACATGAAAAGCAGTGTGCTCCATACCCCTTAGTCTCTAGCTTTGTTATCAAAACACGTGATTCGATCATGTGATGTTATCTCATTGTAAACAGGGTTTATTTGTTTTATTACGTGTAGTATGGTAAAGTATTAACACAATTTAACTAATAATATTATGTGAACAGAGTTGACATGTGAACTCTACTCTGTATCTAGCCCATTTCTAGGTCAATTAAATTCTACTGATGGATCACATCACTAATCATACGTCACTAATTGGTGACATGATCTGATCTCCGTGGGACCCCGAATAATGAGGGGGCCTGGCCGTCGTGCAGCCGGTCACTGTCTGTAGCTGTTCGTCTCTTTAGGAAACGGTCCATGACGTTGTGATGTGATATAGAGTAAGCAGATGATGTGGTGAAGTTACGAATGATAACTGATACACTATAATCGAAGTACGGTAACGACGAGGGTTCCATAACGGCCTGGGTCACGGTCCCGAAAGGGCCTGGGTAACGGTCCCGAAAGGGCCTGGGTCACGGTCCCGAAAAGGCCTGGGTCACGTGGTAACCGGGTCACGTGGCCTAGGCATGAGTTCCAAAAGAGCCTGGGTCACGGTCCCGAAAGGGCCTGGGTCAGGGTCCCGAAAGGGCCTGGGTCAGGGTCCCGAAAGGGCCTGGGTCAGGGTCCCAAAAGGGCCTGGGTCAGGGTCCCGAAAGGGCCTGGGTCACGTGGTAATTGGGTCACGTGGCCTAGGTATGAGTTCCAAAAGGGCCTGGGTCACGGTCCCGAAAGGGCCTGGGTCAGGGTCCCGAAAGGGCCTGGGTCAGGGTCCCGAAAGGGCCTGGGTCAGGGTCCCGAAAGGGCCTGGGTCAGGGTCCCGAAAGGGCCTGAGTCACGGTCCTAAAAGAGCCCGACTTTTAAAATATTTTGGTTTTTACACTCGAAAATCTTAACGCGAAAATTTCAAAATTATGCGAAATTACGCGGAAAATGCTAGATTATGCGGAAATATGCAGAAAATTACAAAATGTTCGGAAATGTGCGGAAAACAATAAATTATGCGGAAATGTGCGGAAAACGGTAAATTGTGCGATCCCGCACCCATCGCACCTAATATGTGCCTCTGAGTCTTTAGGATCTTTCTAGTTAACAGTCCAATAGCCCATTTGTGAATATTGTCATTGTTCGCTCGGCAAAAATCCGTTTTTCAGCCACATCTCCGAAAATAAGCATTATAAGGTAATATATTTCTTCATAATTTGTATATAATTATGGCTATTAGGCACATTTTGGTGTATCAGAATAGTCTCTACGACGTTCCTGGGCTGAAATACAAACATTCGAGGGACTGCAAAACCCTGAAAAAGTGTGTGGCCGAAAACGCCCCTATTGGATTTATTACAAAAATGCAATAGTGGTCAAATGTTTTAAGCATCATCTAAAGAGGTGATAACCGAGAAATCGCTTTTTACACAAAAAAGCAAAAAGCTAATGAGTTTTCCTTTCGTCTCGGACTACAAGTATCACCTCTCTCCTACTCAGGTCAGGGAACGTATCAGACTTAACGGCCGAGTTATATCCCGAGATCTATTCTCCCACTACTTCAACGAGATCTGGGACATGTTCGAGCGGTGTGAGATTGCGGACCTAGAGAACAGTCCTGCTAGATTCCCGTCATTCCTCAAGTACATTGTTGTCATGTCCTACTACGTGTTTATTAAGGTGGGTCACGTGATCAGTTCTGGTGAATTTAAAAATCTTGTTGCTTTTTCCTAAAATAGTCTTATTTTGAACCATTTACATTTCCATCACAGCACTAAACCCTGTCTCACCCATCACTAAACCCTGTCTCACCCATCACTAAACCCTGTCTCACACATCACTAAACCCTGTCTCACCAGGGACAAAAGGATTTCGCGATTATTTTGGCCAAAAATCGCGGTACCGCGAAATTTAACAGGCTGTACATTAAACTATAACATAAAATTTGTCGCGGAGAATGGGAAATTTCGCGATTTTGTACATGCCGCGAAATCCTTTTGTCCCTGTGTCTCACACATCACTAAACCCTGTCTCACCCATCACTAAACCCTGTCTCACCCATCACTAAACCCTGTCTCACCCATCACTAAACCCTGTCTCACCCATCACTAAACCCTGCCTCACCCATCACTAAACCCTGTCTCACCCATCACTAAACCCTGTCTCACCCATCACTAAACCCTGTCTCACCCATCACTAAACCCTGTCTCACCCATCACTAAACCCTGTCTCACCCATCACTAAACGCTGTCTCACCCATCACTAAAGCCTGTCTCACCCATCACTAAACCCTGTCTCACCCATCACTAAACCCTGTCTCACCCATCACTAAACCCTGCCTCACCCATCACTAAACCCTGTCTCATCAGGAGCGGGTAGACGTTGCTGTGATAGAGGTGGGACTAGGAGGGAGGTACGATTGTACTAACGTTGTGGACCACCCTGCTCTCACTGCTATTACTCACCTGGGTTACGACCACTGCTCCATTCTCGGTGAGTGTGCGTGTGTTAGTTACAACATTTGTCGCATGTTGCTTTGTAGTTGTAGATATATTGGGGATTTGCAGAATTGTACCCTTAAGGGGACATACACCAAAAGCTTTTATGCCCTGGCCCTGCTGTTAACGTCATATTAAGAAAGTATACATAAAAACAATAAGATTTGATACATTAAAAATTATTTTTGAGGACCCGCACTTTCGAAAAAATAAATATTTTCTTTTTCGAAATTTTTGGAAATTTTGAGAAGTCTGTCACTGTAATACCGATATTTCGGTTATTTTAAAAGTCTTTTGGCTGATTTTGTTACTGAAGATTACTTACAATCCGTACAAGAAGCCCTTCAAAGGATTTTATAATTAAAATATAGATGACGAAGTTACAGACCAAACAAGGTCGAGAGAAGCAAAATTGAAATTTTTGTAAAAATCAAAGTTGTATATTTTACCATTCACCCAGGTCATAAGATATCGCTTCAAAAATTCTTGTGAGTGTAGCTGATGATCATATCCAACTTTTTGGAACAGGATTTCTCTCAATTTTGAGTTTTAAGGTATGAAATGTGGCCTCAAACGACTTAGTAAAATTCATCGTAAAAAGGGCCAAACATGGCAGATTTAAGGCTTAAAATGCCTATAACTCAAAAAGTATCAGTTTTTTGAAATAATTTTTACAGAATCGTAATCAGCTTGAGAAGACGAATCTTTTAGTACCAAATTTATAATAGTTAAAGACACAAATTTTGTAAAAAAATGTGTACAATTTGTACAAAATTTATACTTGTGTTCGAGCTAGAAAATTATTTAAATCTTTTAGTACCAAATTTATAATAGTTAAAGACACAAATTTTGTAAAAAAATGTGTACAATTTGTACAAAATTTATACTTGTGTTCGAGCTAGAAAATTATTTAAGACAATTTGTCTTCTAAAATCACCTATTTGGTACTAAAAGATTCGTCTTCTCAAGCTGATTACGATTCTGTAAAAATTATTTCAAAAAAACTGATACTTTTTGAGTTATAGGCATTTTAAAGGACCAGTTAACTGAAAAATTTGTAGTCTCCAATTTGGCTAAGATTTAAATCAGCTGTGACAAACTCGTAAAAAATTGTATCGCCGAAAGAACCAACTCTCTAGCTTACGTGTAACGCGTGTTATTGCAATAATAAGCTGTGGCCGCGTGACGTCATAAAGTCCCTCAGTGCGCGCTGGCATAGCGTAATACAATGCACAAATGTTTATCATCGTCAATAAAACACGTGTAACTCACTCAAATTTTAGAGTTATGACTATTTCCCTAGTTCTCCAAAATCCTTATAGTTTTGGCTATCACCCTAACTATATGAATAGCTGATTGGATGTACAGTGCTCACGTCAGGATTTTAAACAGTGACATAAGTTCTTGAACAGTGGCGGGTGAATGTACGGTTAGAAAGTTTCTGCTATTACAAGTGTCATATGTGATAATTTTGGATTGTTTTCATTGCTTCATTAAAACGAAGGGAGACTGTACCGATTATTTTTCCCCAGTCCATGAAACTAATACACAAAATAATGTGCTATATATTAAATATAGCTGATCAGAGTGTAACTCTGTAATATAATATTACAGTTGTTCGGAAGAATGCGAGCAGTCAAATGGTTCGCTATCCTAAAAGACATAGTTCCGAGAGCAATTATATTTCTAGCATAGCGAAATTTCTTACTTTAATCCACACGTGCCAGACAGTACAGGAGACATGAAGTCTGGCTATTTTACGGCCGTTCCCATCGGACCATTAGTAGAAGTAGCTCCTATCAGAACGGTGCCGTGGGAACTGAAAAATACCCGGTATACGTAATACTGATTGGAGTGTACGGTGAGCGGTGTGTTTTGAATGTGACTTACCTAGTTATCGTCCTACTTGTATGATCATCGGTAGGTACATAACATAAATAAACTACTGGTAAAATTAAATACCAAGTGCAAACGTGTTCAGTCAATCGACCCACTGAACAAATATAGAATTTCCAAGACCCTATTATTCTTTGGCCATATATATTGCGGCACGATCGATTCTTAGATGGCTAAACGACATACGTTAATCTATACAATTCTTAAACTATGAGATAGCACTTTAATCTAGAAATACACTTATTATATTACTCCTGATTTTTACATTTCAATTTTCATGTAAAACATTGTAGCCATAGGTTGATCATGGACACTGACAGCTTAATTTTAGATAATAATGATTTATGAGTTTCTCTAAAGTTAACTCTAAACTAGTGTAGTCCAGTCATTTAAGGACATTTATGGAATTGAACCTGCAAATTTTCGTATACTCACGAAATTTTGCAAAGACCTTCTCAAAAGTATGAATAAACGATTTTCGGTTGGAGACATATTGACCACGCCGATATTGACCCAATAACGTAACCGACCCTTTGCTTCTGAAGGTCGTAGACTTCTAAATAGGCTTAAACGAAGCGGCATATGCATGTTTATATAGGAGTTACTGAGCAACAAATGGCCTAAAATCCTTACTCTTCGAGAAATTTGCCAAAAACCATTTTGGGCGTGGTGCTGAGCCCATTTTCGATAGGATCGTGATAGAGTCTTTAGACAGGGTGCAAAAGAACCGCAATTAGCATATTTATATATGACTTACGAAGAAACAGATGCCTTAAAGTGCTTACTTTTTCAGTTATTGGCGAAAAACTGATTTCCGGTTCCAGAAATCATGCAAAAGTATGGGTATCTTGTAAATTGGGCTATGAAGGCCCTACAGATTTTTGAATGATTGCAAATTGTGCAGAATGGCCATGTTTATATACAACTTATGAAGCAACATGTACCCTAAAACACTTATTTTTCGAGTTATTTAGGGGAGAAACATTGTATTATGTCCATTTTTACCTCTAAAATACAGTCTCACGAGCTCTTCTGTGCGCGCAAGGGACTTTATGACGTCATCGCCAAAATAATACAAAAGCTAATTACACGCGTTAGAGAGCAGTTAGAGATTTAGGAATTTCGACTCGTTGCTCAGTTTGCTATTTGTCACAATCTGTCAAAATATGAGGATAACTTTTTTTTGAGTTAACTGGTCCTTTAAGCCTTAAATCTGCCATGTTTGGCCCTTTTTACGATGAATTTTACTAAGTCGTTTGAGGTCACATTTCATACCTTAAAACTCAAAATTGAGAGAAATCCTGTTCCAAAAAGTTGGATATGATCATCAGCTACACTCACAAGAATTTTTGAAGCGATATCTTATGACCTGGGTGAATGGTAAAATATACAACTTTGATTTTTACAAAAATTTCAATTTTGCTTCTCTCGACCTTGTTTGGTCTGTAACTTCGTCATCTATATTTTAATTATAAAATCCTTTGAAGGGCTTCTTGTACGGATTGTAAGTAATCTTCAGTAACAAAATCAACCAAAAGACTTTTAAAATGACCGAAATATCGGTATTACAGTGACAGACTTCTCAAAATTTCCAAAAATTTCGAAAAAGAAAATATTTATTTTTTCGAAAGTGCGGGTCCTCAAAAATAATTTTTAATGTATCATATCTTATTGTTTTTATGTAGACTTTCTTAATATGACGTTAACAGCAGGGCCAGGGCATAAAAGCTTTTGGTGTATGTCCCCTTAATTGCGCGCAGAGCTTAAGAACTGTAAATGGTATTTTTCTGCATTCTAGATATTTATACGTAGTCTATGTAAATTAATGTATTTCAATGATTTATTTCCCTGTAATGTCACGTGATCTTACATAACTCCCGTCCAGGCTACACGATAGAGGAGATAGCAAACGAGAAGGCGGGTATAATGAAAGAAGGGGTCCCAGTGTTAACAGTTAACCAGCACTATACTGCTAGCTATCCTGTACTGGAAAGAGAGGCTAGAGAGATGAGTACTGCTGTTATTAGGGGTAAGTAAAGTGGTTTGTTAGTGAACTTTCCGTTCCTGTAATTGGCCTATCTACAATATATATAGGTAACTTTTGGCAAGGTCAACAGTTTAATCGTGTTATCGTTTCACTGCGCATTTGACAATATTGATCGGCAAATTAGATATGACGAAAAAATGCATTAGAAACTGATAAAATGTTGGCCACAATTTCAAAATTTGAATTTTCTCACTAAAAATGACTCACTCTACACGAAAACTATTCATACTATAATAATCAATTATAAGTGTCGGTTGTGCATTAATTAGGCACACATTTTAATATTTGTTCCTTTTTTGAGTTCTAGTTTCTCACCATTCCTTTAGACGTCTCCAGATCTCTCTGTCTCACCTTCTCTCCCTGTGTTCTGAACTGTTTTGACCTGAGCTACTCTTTTATTGAACATATTCGTTACAGACAATCTCATTTCCTCCATCCTCCATAAGTACAGCAACGGGTTCAGGGCCGCATTGAGAACTGTGCAGAATATCTCGCTAATTGTGAAGCTGTAGAAGAACATGAACTCGTTAGAGAAAACCGGTCCAGGGTACGGGATTGATAAGATGGTGACCGAGACGGTGAAGAGCATAAAGTTTATGAAGGTCAATGAGTTGCAGATAAGGAAAACTGCAGCAAAGTACGATATTGTAACAGATGCCTCGTGTTTCTTTCTGTGAGACAGAGTCTGAACAAGTTGCTTTTGCCTGAGCTTGGTCACGGTTACCACAAAAGCGAGAAATACAGCTAGGGGTGGTATTCCCACGCATATGCTATAATTTGCAAAGTACATTGTTTTTACCGGCGATTTATCTATCCATCGTATGCAATATCCACACCCGGGGCTGTAGAACCCGATTGCGATCATGAAGTAGAGAGTTGTCCATGCAATGTGGTACAGAAAATAAATTCCGAGTGAGATCAGAACTGCTTTTTTGTTGACCTTGTAAAAAGGAAAAACAATCACAATTGCTCGTGATATGGACTGCAACATGACAGCGAACATGGACATTTGCTGTAGCATTTGGAAGACGAAATACCAACCAAAGCAGAATGTAGGATCCGCAAATGGCCCGGGTTTCCTCGTGGTCAACATGGTGCCCATAACAGGCAAATGAATAACACTGGAACAAGCATCAATGGTGCAAGCTATGAGATACAGAAGGGTCGACAACCCTTTTTTCTTTGACTTGTGGAAGTGCCTCCAAGCCAGACAATTTCCTGGTAGTCCAATTATCAGACAGAGACCCAGACCTAGAGCCAGTAATCCATCGTAAATCCGGAACGGAAGAGTTTCTTTTAACCGCTGGTCAAGAGTTGATGCTGTTGATTCTGTCGTCATTTTACCTGTACTATTGTTTATTTAAAAAATATAGAATTCATAAGTATTGGAAATTTGAAGGGAAGGGTCTTCAAGAAGGTATGACCATAATATCACCTGGGATATTGCCAAATGGCCAAGCTCTTTTATAATGTATTTTTATCTTCTGTGTATCTTGGGATTACTTCCATGCTATGAATGCACAATCCACATCCATCCCTCGGACTCAAGCCATCGTGTGGACTCAGGACTGTTAATACTTTAATTACAGCACGAACAAGGGCTAGAGCTTGCTACAGGCGCGGTAAATTGGGGTTTACGGTAAATCAAGGTTTAACTGTATAACGTTTTTATTCTGGAATGCTGTTGGAGAATAAGGTTTAGGTCAAAAGGTCGTTCACTAGCAGAAGGAAGATCTACTGATCCTAGAATCTGTGATTTTATCAATCGGTTTACCACGCAGAAAAATATCGTGATAATCAATAAGTATGGAGTTTAATGTGGCGAACATACCGATTTATAAAGGTAGCGATTATAGTTTTAGACGATCACGCACAAGAAATAATTATATTTATAACCAGCTGCAAGCATATTCTGTCTAGAACAATTTTAGTTTTTTATCATACTTTGTAAACGGATTAAAAACTAATTTTCTAGCGTTGCTAGTGACAAATAAAAAATCTGGATTATATTCATGACCCTCAACCCTGGGTTTTAATTGTTTCAGGCAATTGATACAAGACAAAAACTAAGGATATTATTCAATAAACTGACTTTTATATTAAATATTCTTATCGATGGATTTTAAATCTACCTCAGACCCTTAAGTATCATACTATCTTACACGAATGCAGGCAAAACAATTTCTTTTGCCCCTTACTTGTTAGCGTTGCTAGGCAATATGAGACAAAATACTAAAGAACTTGAATCAACAAACTGAATGGAAAAAGATAATCGATGGAGTTTTCCGAACTCCCTTAAGAACGAATGCCCATTGCTTATAAGATTTGTTGAGTGATCAAACAAAAATACAGTAGTGTAGACTGGCTGTGCAAACAAAGGGAACTGACTTTCTTAGTAATACAACAATCTGTTCCAGAGTACTGTAGGGCGCAAATATACCGACTAATAGCGAGGACAAATTAAAAGTGCTCCACTTCTGCTTATTTGTTGACCACTCACATGACCAAAACAACCAACCTTTATCACGAATTCAGGACTCGCCAATTATCTGAACAATACGTGGCAATTTATCAAACGGTTTACCACGCAGAAAAATACCGTGATAATCAATAAGTATGGAGTTTAATGTGGCGAACATACCGAACATACCGATTTATAAAGGTAGCGATTATTGTTTTAGACGATCACGCACAAGAAATAATTATATTTATAACCAGCTGCCAGCATATTCTGTCTAGAACAATTTTAGTTTTTATCATACTTTGTAAACGGATTAAAAACTAATTTTCTAGCGTTGCTAGTGACAAATAAAAAATCTGGATTATATTCACGACCCTCAACCCTGGGTTTTAATTGTTTCAGGCAATTGATACAAGACAAAAACTAAGGATATTATTCAGTAAACTGACTTTTATATTAAATATTCTTATCGATGGATTTTAAATCTACCTCAGACCCTTAAGTATCATACTATCTTACACGAATGCAGGCAAAACAATTTCTTTTGCCCCTTACTTGTTAGCGTTGCTAGGCAATATGAGACAAAATACTAAAGAACTTAAATCAACAAACTGAATGGAAAAAGATAATCGATGGAGTTTTCCAAACTCCCTAAAGAGCGAAATATTCAATCTGCCTTAAATCCCTAAATACCAAATAGATTACCCAGATTATGATTAAATCTTTGTGGCGTGTGTTAGAGCATTAGAACTGCCAAACTTGTGGTCCACCCAAAGCTAAAATAATTCACATAAGATAGTAAAACGTTTCAGTTTGAATTGTTAGTGGAAACTGGGGTTCTTAAAACTTATAAAGCATTACTTAGCTGACATTATAAAATGTTATCGAGGCTAAGAGAGAGACGCAGCAGCATTGGAAGAAGTGAGATGGGTCCTGGAGCAGATGGTGGTCGAGGAAATTATTAACAAAACATACTTATCCACTTATCAATGCTAATGAGTAATGATATTGTACTGACAACGGAGAGTGTAACTGTAAGGGACAATATAAGGTCTGCCCCGCTATAATAAATTTTAAACATTTAAAATTTGTTATATAACAAGATAATTATGGTTTTTTTAAAACTATCATTAGTGTAAACCAAAGACCTTGGAATTCATTGTCATGGTGGGGAATGCGAAGGACAATATAATTTTGTGATGCTAAGGACGACCCCGCAAAGGCTGGATGGCCTGTGTACTCGAGGATGCGGCTGACTTTACAGGTGTCACTGTCGATAACATCAGCAGAGACGGGGGGATCATATGATCAGAATCGTACATGACGTTGGGTGGGTGTGTCATATTTTCTTCCAAAACGCAGTTAGTACTCTTGTACTAAGTGGTGGTTCTGCTGCTCATTTCCCAGAAAAACAGCTGGTACATGGTACTAAAGGGTTCATTTTTTGGTTGTCCAACCCCAAAAAAACCATTTTAGCTCAAATTTCAATTTTGGGAATGGGTTTTGAGGTTTTTTTGAGTTTTTTTTTGGGTTTTTAATTTTTAATATTTTTTGTAACTTTTTATCTAATTCGACTACATTGTAAACAAAACCCCTACTAAATAGTGAGTATAAATTGCCCATTTCCAATGTTTGATGAGCTGTTTAAAGCAATTTATAGGTGGGTATCTTATTTTATATACCCAGACTCAGTTAGTACCGTGATTTCTCAACAGTTAGTACCGCAAAAGGGGGTGCGTGTCCTTAATATTATCCGAAAAATCAGTTTGTACCGTGAAGGGGGTAGGTGGGTCCTTTTTGTAAAGTCTAAAACTGCACTTAGTCGACGTCACGTACGGCACTTAGAACCTGATCACCCATGGAGGAACATTTTACACCGTAGAAGAGATGTGTGTGATGCACGCCACTCCAACGATTAGGAGGAGACCTCTTCATGTAGCATGTATGTACTATGTTTGTATGTTATGTAACTTGGAGTCGCTAAATTAATTCGACGAATAGCCGGTTTGACAAGACGAAGAACAGGCTGCAATTTAAAGAGCTCAACAAGTGATGAGGGCGGGAGAACAATAGAGCTCTGAAGGAGTGCTTTAGTAGACAGCCGAAACGTCGATTATTTCATTTAAATTTTCACCAGTCATTTGCCTTGTTACACTTTGTCTGTCGGGAGCCGTGATGCTCCCTACTGATCACTAGAATGTTAAAAACTCACGCTCGGCCTTACGAGATTTATGTCAATTTGAATAATGACAATTCCGTTTACAATGGTATAATCTGAATAATAATGGTATAGAAATTACTTACCGGACCAATTAATTAACTTGTAAATGAACCTACACAAACAGTTGTAAGTGTCTTAAATTAAGGTCGTATGACTTGCCTATGGTGCACGTAAAGTATTGAATTGCAGAGAAGAACGTCAAATATGAAAACAAGTTTCAAAATAAAAATCTTTAATTTTATAAAATGATTTTGTGAGCGACTATTTAATAGGGGGTCGTTCACATATTACAACATAATC